AGTATTTTAAGGATAATGAGCTACTAGTTGTGATTATATGGCCACGGTGATGTAATACCCCAAACTGGGCGACCCCATTACCTTGTCCATTTTGGATAATTGCACCTTGTTTTCTATATGGTAAAGTGTTTTAGGATATTATGGCTATGATCTGGGCCACGGTGGTGCAATTACCCAAAATGGGCAAGGCCTTCCCTGACTCCTACCTACTGTACCTACCGACCTACCGATCTACCGACCTACCTATTTCTTCAAATCTGTCCATCTACCTAGTGTCAACGAACCTCCGTCCTTGCTGTCTGCGAGCCGTGTCCTGAGCCAGTCCTCGGCCAAAGTCATCAGGCGAGCGGATGCAACACTTCAGAACCGGCAATCTTCCAAAGGTGCTACAGCCATCTAAAGCTTCTGGCCTTGGCGCGCTCGACCGCCGGAGTGGCCTCACCTCACAAAGGCTTCTGCACGGGGCAGGGGACTTACACTCGACAAACATGGTCACTGACAAATGATGGAGTCTGCCTGAACGGGAGGCCGCATCATGGCTTCTGGGCATTGCTACAAGTACCCAAACTTTGGGGTACTCTTGAATATGCTGATTGCTCGTGGAGGTTTGTTACTCTTGGCGGCTGGCAAGGTGGCATGCTGTGCGTGCTACGTGTGCTGTGCATAACGTGAGTGCACGCAGACGGTGCGGATGGTGAATGAGGTGCTGAGCGTAGACTGCGACTGAGCATGACTAGGCCTAGGCCTCCGTTGTTGTCACGCCCCTCAGTTGTGTGCCAAGCTGCTGCAGTAAGTCAGTTGCCACGTTTTCATGTGCAAGAAAGACTGCAGAGGCCGGCTGGAAACTCACTGGGGCAGATACTGGGCTCTCGGAATCCCGTAACATGCACGTGTGTTCCGGCAGAATCCAAAGCAACTCCAAGCAGGAAGTGCGCTCTGCAGGCGGATGCACGGGGCTGTGCTGGCGATGCCTGTAGCGCCTCCAGCAGTGTCCTCAAACCAAACCTAAGTCCAAAATGCACTGCACAGCAGCTCTGGGGGCTCTGAAGCTCTTTCTGTTTACTGAACCAGGTTAGGCACGTCCGTTCGGGAAGTTCAGTCGCTTGAGGAGCTTCGGCTGCCCGGGCCTGGCAAGCACAAGGAAAGAGAACGGCACCAGCTGTCCCATGGCTTTCCTCATCCACACTGTCATGCTAGGAAGCTACTGTACAAGTCACCAAGGCTTTTCGGAGTTCGACACCAGCAGCTTTGTACCTGCACTTCATGGACCGGCTGCAGACTGTCAGCCTCGTCTCTGTCGGGAGCGACTTCAACGTGGCTTTCTTCGCTGTGGCTGCTCTGGGGAGCTGCAACTGCGCAGATGACACGCTTGCACACAGGAGGATGCAGGCAAAGCTTTCCCAAAGCAGTCTGCTGCGCCGTGCACACAGTGGTGACCTGGTAGCTCGTTTGCTTCGGGCGCAGCTTCCACAGAAGGAGAGTCCTCACGACAGCAAGAGAAGAAATCCCAGGATCCATTCCAACCTCTCGGGTCTTCTGACCACTCCTCGTGACCCGGACTCCTCTGGGGCTTTGCCACTTCCTGTCTTCGGCTTCGCCACCGGTGCAGAGCCTGACCAGGAACGTCTGTGTCTCGAGATGCTTCGAAAATAAACCGATGCTCGGACACTGCAGCAGCGCATACAGCATGCAGGGTAGCTGCTTACCTCGCAGGCGAGGAAACCACCCAGGGCAGCAGCAGCTACCACCATAGTCCGGGATGCCTTGGGCACAGAAGTGTCCACTGGTGGGGGAATTCTGGCACATTCAAACAGAAGCGGTCTGACTTGAACCCAACACTAGCCGTAATGTTGTGTGGCGCGCAAAACAATAATGCTGGGGTCCTCGCTGAGAGTGGTGGCGCAGACATTGCGAAAGGATGATGGATTCAGTAATTACAGGGTTTGACTAACATTCAGAGCAAGGCAAGAACTGTGGCCAACGTCAGCTATGATGCTCAACCAGATCAACTTGTTGGAGGCTTCACAGTCGTAGTCATAGGCTTCATAGGCTTCATCACGACTGTCCAGCACTACATAGCACTACCATAGACTACCATCACACTCCGTCACCTTCCTCGAGCGGTTCTTGAAGCGCTGTTGCCCATGACATGCTGCAGCATCCCTTTTCGAGATTTCGTTCTACCCACTTGCCTAATTTACTGGTGCACCATTCGCATCAGACAGACGAAGATGTTAGATCCATGCGTCCTTGTCCTTTCCATTGGAGGGGCCTCGCGCCTCCTGCATCAAGGCACGAGCCGGCACGAGCCACGGAACTCTGGCAACTCCAAGGCCCGTCCAAAGGCGCACAAATCGCAGCCGCCAATCCGCTAGAGTAAGACAGAGAACAACGGCCTTCTAATTGGCGACAACTAGCAGTGTTGGCATCGTTTCAAGCCCGGCACGTGCCTGTTTCGGAACGGCGTATGCCGGCATCCGCTTCTGCCCGGCATCACAGCGCACTCATGTTCAAATCGCTCCAGAGCACTACGAATGAGTCAACTGATCTTGCGCTCTCTGCCGTGCATTGCAGACCGCGCGCAAAAACTCTTCGGGCGTAGCCTCCATGACGTCGAAGTTGGGGCTGTAGTACCCTGGTCCCATTTGTGTGCCCTGGCAAACGGCAACAGCAAGTTCTGCCGTGCATGTAATGCCCACGGTGACAGGCCTTCCGGCGATAGGAAAGGGGAGGAATTGATTTCGCAACTTCCTAGACCTTTCAACACGGCAGCTGACGGCCTTCTTGGAAGACTTGGCTTGCCTCGGCATGGTGCCATGTGCACAGACTACAGCGTGGGAAAGGAGTAAGGTCTCAGTCTGCAGCTCCTTGTTTTCGGGAGTCATCTGCAGACCTGACAAGAAGAGGTACTGTATCGCCGTGCCGAACTCAGCCCATTGCACAGCTTGCACTGCTGGATGCTGCTGGGCTCGCGACAGTCAACGTGCTTCTCAGGCTTCTGTGGATCGTACCTAAGCGAACCGAGCGACGTACAGGGCAGCTTCTCATGGCTCCAAGGCCCTGCCGGAGTAAGGGCAGAGCTTGCCCGGGGCCGGCTTCCACTTGCCCTCGGTGACAGCCTCCACGGTCTCAACGGAAGAAGCTGTTTCCGTCACCGAACCCCTCGTCACTTGTTCAGAGAGCGTCAGCGTCGCATACATGCAAAACGGATTGCTGTACTGTACAATGATCCAAGACAGGACCACATAAAGCTTCAAGCGTCCAGGTATCCAGCGTGTCATTGGATCTTGACTGGACATCTTTGGAGACCTGGACCCTCAACAAATCCAGGCATGCAATGGATTCAAGGCGTCTGACCGCCGCTGGCTGACCGCCCTGAACTGTTTATCGTCTTGTGGCCTGAAAGGCCGACAAAAGTTGCAAAAGACCCGCTCCGCAAACGATCCCTCCACAAACGAATTGCCCTTGTGCCGGCAATACGAATGCAAAGGAATGACGTCTGCCAGAGGCCATTCCACGCGAAGCAACCCTGTCACCATACTCCCGTCGGCTGGAAAGCCTGTAGCGATAAACATGTCAGTCTGACTTCGGCATCACGCGGAGGCGGTGCTTGCACAGCTTTGGCAGTTCTGTGCACCGCTCCCCCACTTGTGATGAGCTTAAGAATGGTGCTGTCGCGAACCTCTGGAGACTTCATTCGCAGGAGCTGTAATTCAACTCTATGCAAGCAGCTCACTCTGTGCGTGCAAACCTCAGCTGTGCTCCTCAAGTGACACATGCATGCTTGGCGAGCAACTCAAAAACAGCTAATTGCCTAATTGCCGGATGAGGTGCTGCCACCATGCTTTACAGAAGCCCTGCAGGCCCTGGAGCTCGGCCGATCATAATCGCCCCGCTCGGTCTTGTTTGTGCTCAGGTGCTCATTTCTACCTCAGCAGCGGCTTAATGATACGCATCTGTTTCCAAAGGCAACGCACATGCAGCCGCTGGGCCATCACTGCAAAGGATGTGTCTGCCTTGTCCACCAGCCTGCGCCGCCCGCAAGAAGGCTGACTAAGTAAAACGCGGCGATAGACGAAAGCACCCCTGGACCATCAGGCCTTCGCCAGTCCACCGGGAGTTCGCAAAGCTCTGACGTGCTTCGCTCAGGAGTAGTGCCTGCACACGAAGCACGGCTTGATTTCCAGCGTGCAACCTGTGAGGTTTTCATTCAGCTCGCTTGCCAAGGTGCGGAATGGGCCAAGGCGCATGGAACCGATCGTGAAAAACAGCTTGAGATCCCGGATCTTGGTCGCACATATGCTGAAGGGATGCGCTGTCTGGCATAATGCATGCGGACGCACAGCATGATGCCCGAAGCATATACCTTTAGCCAGGCTACGACCGGATCATCAGAAAGAAATTTGATCTGCAATGACCCGTGCAATGGTGCGGCCTGTGCACTGTGCACGAGCCAGCACATGCTGGAAGTGTTTGCAATACTGCGGTACTGCACTTCATTGAGGCAAGTGGGCTGCACCTTGTTGCATGCCATCTCCTTCTTCTTGCCCTTAGATTGCGCCATAGACCATGCTGAACCTGGCGCGAATATCCTCGGCTCTGGAATACATGGCTGGACAGTTGGGGGCTGGAACGCCGGGACAGTCACAGTTAAAGTAAATTGTTCCTGGCTGAACTTCGGCAAGTTTCACACGGAAGTCGTCCAAGAGGGGAGTGCTGAGCTGTGGCGAGACAAGTGGGAAGCCGCAGCTGGCTTTGAACTTTGCTGTCGGGTTGATCACGCGCCATGACACCACACTGGTCTCCGTGGGAGGCGCAGACGCGGACAGCGAAGGACAGGCACAGGGTGGCAACAGCTCTGACAATGCCAAGGACACTGGGTGCCGTGGCATCGCAGGGGTCGGCTGCGGGCTGGAGTGACAACTGACAGATGGAGAAGTCGAGCGCAGAGACCGCGGCGTCATGGTGACCGAAGCTGCAGACGGCGACCGAGTCTCCTCGTCCATCCCAGGGCATTTGCCAGGACTCAAGAACTGAGACCTCGGCACCGCTGTATGCGAGCAGCAAGCCCCCTTGAGCTTCAGCTCATCCAAAATGCATTGAAGCAAAGCCTGGTCGTGGCGCTCAAGTGGAGCTCCAACCGAGGAAGCCATTGCCAGCTGTGGGCGAACAACAACACGCACTGAAATTCCTCAAAAGGCTTCGGCTGAAGAGAACAATGGCGGCAAAAGACATGAGCATGCTTTTCGAGACGACAACGTGAGCAAGCTGTGCAGGCAGTGCAACACAGCAGTTTGGAGACCCGAGGCAAGGGGCCTGGTCATAGATGAGGCACCCGCGCGTTGCTGGGCGCATGCACACATGCTCAAACGTATGTCGGCTAGATACCCACGCAATGACAGAGAAGCACGACGACCATTGCGACCACGACGACCAAGACAACCAAGACCAGCATGACCACGACCACCAGGAGGCCACGAGGAGACCACCAGGCACACATACACCACCAGGACATGGCTTCCCCCAAAGACTGGCGGGATTCAGGAGCATGGCCAGAATGCGTTCCTCAAGTACCCCCAAGTAGGAGGTTCTGGCGTGATTCCGGAGGACGGGCAAACTGGCCAGAGTCAAACGTTTCGAGGCCCAGTCAAACGTTTCGAGGCCCAAAGGTGGCCCACGTATTGGAACTTATAATGGATCTGGACTCCACGAGACCCTTGTCTACCGCGATCCTGTGAAAATGTGAGGACGGGAGCGCAACCTATTCACTGCACGACAGCCGGAGCCGTGTCCCGGAAACGCTTGTGCGCGTCACACCCCGCGCCCACCTTGATCAATTCATAACTCGTAACGCTAGAGCATCCTGTGTACACTACTGTAGTATGTACCACACTGCTTGGGGAATCAAACCCTTAGGTAAACGAAAAGCTTCCGAGTCGATTGCTCGTTCATGACGGTAATCAATGAAGTGCTCCTAGTGTGACCCTTCAACAGTCAAATAGAATACGTCAACTACTTACTTTCTTATGCAGGTGTCGCTGGAGATTCTCGATTCGATTGCTCTCAGCCACGGACATTTGGCCATGATGCCCCCGCGAGTGCGAGGTGTTGTCACATCGCTTATGCTTTGGTACCTGAGCTCCAGAAATGCACACCTCTGCTGCTCAGCCATCGCGATAAGTTAGTCTAGATGCCGTGCTGGAATGGGTGCGTTGTTGCTGGTGCTGTCTTCAACGTCTGATGCAGCTGGGCACCCTGTTAGCCGGCAAGTTAGCCTGGTCAACGGTGGCGGCGTGATGCGATCTGCTTCACTGACCGTTCTTGGAGGATTCTGGTTCAAGCTGCCGTTTTGGGACCTGGGACGACCTCAAAGATGGAACGACGCAGATGATGTCAATGTGACTTCACAGAACCGAAACGGCCTCTGCCGGATGAACTCCCATGCACGGAAGATAGAGAAACAGGCTACGAATAGCGATGCCAGCAACTTGTCAAGCTGAGCAGAGAGGTCCTGGCTGGCCGACAGAAGGCCAGTTCTTCTTCGGATCCTTCTCGTCGCGATTGATTCGGCTAAACCTTGCACCCCATCCAAGGTAGCACCGGCATCTCAAACCAATCCGCGTTGTGGAATCACTTCGGCAATGTGATGCTACCAGGCATCATCCCGATTGCACCAGCTGAGCACCGGGCATCCCCAGTTTGGCTTTCTGCCCGAAAGGCCTTGGCCGATGCGAGCAGCGCTGCCATGACACCCGAGACAGCACGGAAATTGATCTGCCTCCTGTTGAAACCAAAGTTGAGGCAAACGCTTCCCCTCCTTCTTGTAGTGATCCGGGCCTGGATACTTCGCATTCTTCTTTACCTCCGCGCAAGTCCAGTACAAATGAGGAAACTGCAGCAGCGACTAGTCCTACGTGATGTGAATGGGCTGCGGGAAACAGAGTCGTCTTGTTTCACAGGGTTGCGATGAATCTGTTGGAATGGCTAGGGAAACACGGCAAACTCTTGGAAAACAACATGTCGTTTCGAGTCTCATACCTGTGACGCGTGCCCCAAAGTTGTAACTAACGCTGAGCTTTGCTCTGCATGGCACAGCGAACCAGCTCGCTCCCTCGCATGCATCTTCCGTCTATGCCCACAATGACACTGCCATTCTTTCCCAGTCCATGGAAACAGAAATCATGGTTGGAGACGTCCACCATCATTGGCCCGTTCAGACTGATCACCGAAAATGCCATCAAATGACTCCTGTCAACATGAGACTTGATCCGACATCGGGTAGATCTGCCTGTCAAGACTGCTAAGAGCTTTCAACCAAAGACCGACATGCACGTAGCCAACGAATCACAACTGAAATGAACCTGTCCCTGCATGCCTCGTAACCCTGCGCGTGGCATTGTTACATCTACCCGCGTCCCCAATAGCACTTCAAAACTACAGGCGGGCCTGTGCATTTCCAAAAGAAGAGAAGAAAAAAATTAAGTCACGTGCACTGCAGCAGCATCTTTGGCAGCGACACCAGCACCAGCAGAAGGGATAATTTACTCAGTAGGCTCAGCAAGCAACTCCTTGCTTGGAAAATACCATGCTAACTGCAAGTCGTCCGACCTCTGTAAACAGGCTGCCGGCTTCGTTGGGCGCCTGCACGCAAACATGTCACAGCTCCAGAGATCTTGGCAATATTTCTGGACTGTAGACACATGTTCACGCGTATCTATATACCTGCCCATTCGCATATCTGTCTGTCTGCTGTGCATACACATATTTGCAGGTGTCGAAGTATGTATGTGCGTGTCATGAGATCAACAGTCTATACCAGAATATATACAGTTACATATATGCATATAAGATATACAGTTACATGTGTATATATATATATAATATCCATACACAGATAGATGGATAGACGGGTAGACACACAGATAGATAGGTAGATAGATAGATTAGACTAGATTAGATTAGGTTAGATTAGAATAGATTTGATCAGATATGATAGATAGATACTGCCAGACGTTGGGGAGAAGCAACGTTTCAGGCCGGTCTGTTAACGACAACCGTCTCGGTGGAGGCAGCGTGCCCGGTGATCAGCCTTCTGTTGGGCGCTGCATTTATGGTCCCCCTGCGATTCGCCTTTTCCGGTGGGGGCGATCCATTGGAACTAAATTGCACTAGCCGCGATCTTCCAATACACGTGCCGCACGGCGTTCTCGAAATTAAATGTCAATCCTCTGCGAGTGAGAACCCCATTGCAAATTCCGATACTTCGGAGCAAGAATTTTGGCCGCGCTGCTGAAGGCCCCAGTACTTGGGGATTCCTTCGAAGCGACTCCCGTGTTTTGGTGGAGTACAAACGCAGTCCGCGGAATGCCTCCACAAAGAGGATGGATTGGCAGATGGATGGACGGATTGGTTGATGGACTCATGGATGACTAGATGGACGCATCCATGAAAACAGAGATGGATGAATGTAGTATGACATTACTCGCTGCTGCAATATGTCTTTCTTTCGCTGCGCTTCTTGATTTAACTTTCTGTCGCTCGTTCTTTGATTTTGCGTGTGCGTGGTACCTGCATACGTGGCGTGTGCGTCGATGTATATATATATATATACACATATGGCATACATATGTATATAGATATATACATATACAATATGTACATTCCAGCCACGCTCTCACATGTCTGCTAACGCATATATGCAGCTCCTTGGGGATCGTCCCACCGGGAACGATTGGTTGGAAGCCACACTTTGGGACCAGATACCTCACAGAGGAGAAGAGGACAAGCTTTGGTTCGGATGCACAAGCGCATCTCGACCAAGCGCCGCGTCTGCCGAGGCATACAACTGCTCAACACTGGGACATCCATCCAAAAGGTCTCGACATGTTCAAGCAGCAAAGTGGCCTCACTTTGGACTTTGGTTTTGGGTCTACTCTATTACTAGCTCTAGAACTTATTCTTGCTGCAGGGACACGCTTCCAGAGCAAAACCGTCCATGGCCGAGTGCTAAGCAACCTCAGCGTCACGAGCCAGCAGCAATACGCATACCCACATCATATCATGTCACGGGAGGTGCGAGCAGGGAAGGAAAACAAGCACCACCAGTTCATGCCAGTAGCGTGTCTTTGGGCCGTTCGTCCGACTGGAGCTGCCGGTCTTCAGCAAAGCGCCAGTCCTGTGGGCTCATTTATGGGACTCCATTCCTCGAAGCGAGGTGGAGACAGGTGGGATGCCACAACTGAGAGACATGGGTGTCACCACAAGGAGCACGAGCGAGAACCACAACAAGAAACGCAGGAACCACAACAAGAAATGTAGGAAACATGACAGCAAATTGAGGAATCTGTACTCCCCCGCGCCCGTGCCCCCCAGGCTCCCTGGACCCCAGAGATGCCAGAGCACGGTCACGGGAGAGTTCGATTTTCGAGACGCTCAAGGCTCAAAATGCCCAAAACTGTACTCCCCTACGCCCGTGCCCCCCCGCCCCCTGGAGCGTGAGTACGATTTTCGAGACTTTGTTTCCCAAAGCTTCGAAGCCGTAGAAGCCTTAGTGAGGTTACCACATAATCTTTTTGATGTTCTTGCAAATGCTTGTTGATGTTCTCGGATCTTTGTTGAGGTTTCAACCCTCTCTCCACAGCTGAACTCAAATTGACGTGCGTGAGGCACAGTTGCACCGCACCACTACTGCCGCTTCGATGGCCCTTCAATGACCGGCCTCCGAGCTCTGAGACGGGATGTGGTCTAAATGGCTGCGGTCGAGCCATCCCAGGCATGTCAAGGTAGCTCAAGCGAAGTTGAAAGTACCGATGAGAGCTTAAAGTTGCCTTGCTTTTGTGCTCAAGCTGCGTCTGTGCCAAGCACTTCATCCTCCCAAGAGCTGCCATGCGCTCTGAGCGGCCTCGCAGGAGCAGGAACGTTCGGATGGAGTTCGAATCAAGTTTTTCGCAGCTTTCAGAGACCTGCCTGAGTAGAGCCATTCTTGAAGCTCATCTGCTAGCTCCTCGGTGCTGGCGAAGAACTTTGAGGCGGTGTCGGCCTTGGACTTCTCCTCTTGATACAGTCCGTAGGTCTCCGAGAGCTCTTCGGACAGGCTGGAGGCTGCCACTTCGAGACCTCAGTGACCGGGGACCCCAGAAGAGGAAAGGGAAGGAAGTCTGAAAGAAGATACCCCCATCCGCAGCCACATTTAGGCCGAAAGGCGTGCTTTGTCCGCTTCAACACGTGCTAGCTCCGTCTGAAGATGATCGTACGCTTGCTGCGCTGTGAGCTTCGTCTGCGGAATGTCTTGGAACATTGGGTGTGATCCACCATCGGCGATGCCGACCGCATCCTCGCCCTCTAGGATCCGGTTCAGTTCGGAAAGTTCAGCCTCCGTGCTTTGACGGAAACTCCCTTCCTGATCCTCGAGCTCCCGCAAGCGCTCGGATTCTTTTTCTTCCTCCTTCGCCAGTCTTTCGCGCTCATGCGCTAAGGCATTCCATCTCCTGTGCCCTCCCACGTTTGGGTTGGCGTAACCCATAGCAGCCAATTCCTCAAGCGCAGACATGATGGCTGCCAGCACCACCGAAGTCTCTCCTACCGCACCCTCAAACAAAGGCTTCGGAGGAGCCTTTTCCGCAGATCCTGAGGATGAGCTGCTGGCGTCAGCATTGCATGTGCCAGGGCTGTAGTCTGGCTTACCCACGCCCACCACCATTTCGTACAAAGCGAGCATGCGCTGCATCTCCGCCATGAGCTCACCATGGGCTTCCATGTTCGAGGCGGCATGATCTTTGGCCCCGAGCTCCGCTTGCTTCTCGCTAAAACGCGGGCTGCCTTTAGCTTGGGAGGGTGAGGCTTCAGTGTCCCGGCACTCTGCGCTTGCCAGCCGTTCTGAGGCGGCCGTGAGGGCCGCCGCGACCAGATGGGCTTCCTCAGCCTCCCCAAAGGACGGATCTTCTTCCTCGCGTTGTTCTGCGTGATCTGGTGGACCGGGACCGCCAGGACCGGGACTTGCTCTTTGGCAAACCTCGAGGTTCGCATCAGCGAGACGGGAAATCGTTTGCTCAAGCTTCCAGAGTCTTTGCAGGAGGAGGTCCTGCTTCTGCAGCAGCTCAGACTCTTCAACAGCTGAGCTCCTCCGCGGGTAGATCGGCTCCGAGGTCTCGGGAAGAGAGGGATGTGGGCAAGCCGCAGCCACAGGGGGCTGAGGTGGAGAATGCGATGGCGCAAAAAGTTGCATCGGCTGCATGCCTGGCATGCCTGGCATCCCAGGCTGCATGACGGGGAAGGGAACGGGCAATACGTTGACGCACGGCACTGCAGCGCTTCCAGGGTATGCCGGCTGTACATCCTTGCCTGGCTTCTCCTTTCCGTCTTCATTCGACTTCAGGGCTGGACGGGGAGGGGTCTCTTCTTGACCTGGTGGCTCAACACTCTCCTTAGGAGTCTTTGGAGTTTTCTGACCTTCCGGTGGCAACTCAAAACTATATGTACATCTTGCCTGCGCAAAGCGTACCACATCACCATGTTTCAAATCGTGGGCAATGTTGGGCTTCAGACGCAGTCCGTTCACAAAGGTGCCATTGCTGGAACCCAGATCAAGAAGTTGCGGCCGCCTTCCCGTGAACGTCAATCGCGCGTGCATTCGTGAGATACCCTTGCCGTCCAGCTGCAAGCTGCACTCCTCGCCACGGCCAATGGATGTCTCAACTTCCTCGAGCTGATAGACGACACCCTGCGTCCGCAAATAGCCATAGACATGGGCATCCTCGAATCTGGATGCCGAAGCCATAATTCAGCTTCTTCGGAGGACACCATGCCAGGGGCGCTGTATGGGCGAGTGATGTGCTAGGTTGCTAGCAGGCCAGTGCCTCTGAAAAGACCATACGATATGGCGATATGTTGTTAATCTGTCGGGAAGTCCAAGGTGTGTTTTGTGACCTGTGTCATTTCAGTTCAACGAGGTCTTGACATAGCTCAACCGTCTTCATGGCAGGGGCGGTTAAGAACGACGGTCGATTGACCATTGCAGACAACACTCTTCAATCCATGTGCCCCCCTGGTTGCGACTCTATGTCATGACACAAAGACCAGCGGCGAGACACCGTGGAGGGGCTTTTCATGCATGGTCGGACTACTAAATTTCAACGCAAACTTTGTTTGCATTACATAAAGCTGCCTTTCACACTATGAGTGAAACGGCGATGTCTTAGGCCTGTGTGCCGTTTTTGCCAGCACGCAGGCGAGAGGTTCATTTACTGTTCTGGACTCTGGACAGCAAAGGAGCAGGTAAAGCAAAAGGTCCCTGAAGTCCTTGCAGATGGTCATCACGGTGCCATGTCGAGCTTGCAAAAGCTACAAATTCCTGTCAGTGCAGCTACCTCTCCAATGCCTCCGCTGCCCAGGCACCGAGTGAGACTGGATCGAATTCGCTTGACTCTGCAGTCTGATGTACACTGGCCTGTGTAAAGTGGTCTTGTAGCATTCGTAGTTTCTGACAGTTGCTGAACAGGGTGCTACGAGGTGTATCGCTATGGATCGGTTTTCGGGGATCTGGACAACTTGTGCATCTGGGTCAGCCTCAGCACGCCTGACAGAGCAGAGCTTGTGCACAACGAAGGCCTCTTGTCCAGGAGCTTCACCGGCCTTCCAGAAGAGGAAGCACGCAAGCCCAAGGAGCCAGGCCGGGACCTGCACAATGCGAATCCTCGTTTGAAGGCTTCAAGTTGGCTTCCAGCCCTCAGCAGAGCTTTCTGATAGCGGCTTCTTTTGTTTTCGCATGTGCTACGCAGCGAGCCCGGCAAGCTTGTCAGCTTCTCCGGCACCAATGCTGAGACTTGGCACTGTGTGAACATAGCCTCAGCCATGCTGGTGGCATGCATCACACGCAACACGGAATCCAAGCTGCATGCACATCCCGTAACCATCGAGGCCGAATGTCGCCAGGTGTTGCCGGAAGAGTGTAAGGTATCAGCTCAGTCGCGTGCTTCTATGCCAACCATTAAGCGGTAATGCAGTCTGGGCAGCTCATGTTCAGAGCATGTGCCCATTCCCAGTAGTCAGCATACAAACCCGTGGGATTGTACTCCTTGGCATGCTGGACATAAAGTGTGGCATTAGCAGGCGCCGCCTGCCGCAAAGTGTCTGATTCACCCGTTGACTTTGACTACATTGTTCTGACATAACGAATTACACGGCAGGACAATCTCTGCTTGCAGCCATGATTCGACGAGTTTTGCTCCATCCGGCAGGAAGACCAGATTCCTTGCAACATCTCTTCATAAAGGAGTCGCTGGACATCAGCTTCGATTCAGGGTTGCCGCGCAAGTCTAAGCAGGCTGATGCATCGCCCAGCACCACGCAAGCTCCGAACAACACTGCGAAGCAAGGTAGCAAATTTTGCAGTTTTAGAGCCACTCGAGGGCGTCACCTCTCGCCGGCCGGTTGGGACATCACAGCAACTGGCTCCAATGCATGGAAGCATCAACAGTGCTGTTCCAGCGAAGCCAGCCAAGCAGCACGTCGACGTGTAAAGCTTCCTGCAGAAGAGTGCAAGTAGACGGCACACTCAAGCGGCCTGCTGCCAGCCTGGCCAATTCATGTACAGGCATGCTTCCAGGATCGTCAAGAATATGAAAACCTCAGGTGGCGACTACGGCAGCGTAGAAAACTTTAATCACAAGCACGATGCTATGGAGAACCGTCCGCGTCTGAGGCTGTGGCCACTCTTCTGCCTTGCCACTGCAAGTGGTCTCAAGTTTGCAGCTCAGCTACGACTAGCTTTCTTGCCAGCTAGCGCGTGAGCCCAAAGTACCCAGTCTCGGGTGTCTCAGGCATGCCACAGTGTGGGGATGCGAGGGGAGGTTTATTACTTGACAAGGCGTGAAGAAACAGCCCAGCTTCGAACAATGCTAATACTGCATAGTTTTGTCCATCTCTTCTGGTTGGCTGTTGGGGGCTCACGGCTTGCCGCACGTAGTGCTTAGTACGGGGGGAGGGAAGCAATCCTGGTTCCTGGCACCTACAGGCACAAGGTCTACTCATGCTTTCGGGATGAGCTTGTGTTCTTCTGATCAAGTACTGGAATCCTGCAAGGCCACAAGCATTGCCTAGGTAGTATTCCACATTGCTGGCATCCACCCCAGAAGACGGGCGACTGATAGGTAAACCCCTGAAATCGCGGCCCCACATCTTTAGCAACAAAAACACCTGGGCGATGAAGCATACTCGTAGTTTCATACGGCTTCATGCTACATCAACTGGTGGTGCATAGCAACAACAGGCAGCCCTTTCGTGTCCAGGGCCTTACTGTACCTCAACAGAAGTGAGCGTCCTTGCCCAAATCACGTCCGAGCAGCAGCTTCTCTTCCAAGAGCTCCTGGCATGGTGGCCACGCGGTCACACATGGCCGCACCAGGACTGCCCCCGAAGCCCAAGCGTGATTCAGGTCCTCGCCCTCGACAGAGCGACCATTTCGGGTGCCGCTGCGCCGAGACAGGAAGACCTTGGACCAGCCACCTGATCCACGCAGCTTCTACGAGACATTCCTAGTGTTCATGCACAGACTTGTGATTGGATGTGATTGGGATGTCACGTGCATCACCTTGTGATGCTCCATCTTCTCTGCCGCCCGAGCAAGCAGCTGGAGTCAAGCCCCGGAAGAGTTCATCGCGGATGACGTTCCGAGTATTGTGTCGCACGAGTCCTGGACATCCATATCGAGCTGACGACCCAACTTTTGTAATAGATTTGGAGTTTTTTCGGAAAGCGCACCCCCTCAGCGGATTTTGTGGATCACGGAAGACGCAGTGCTCGTCTTCTTTTTGGGTGTGGATCATGATTTCACTCTGTCTTTAGGAGCTGCTCTCCACTCGCTACACTAACAAGACGGCACATCGTCGTCCTCATCATCATCATCATCATTATCATCATCATCATCATCATCATGATCGTCGTCGTCGTCATCATCATCACCATCACCATCGTCATCAGCATCATCGGACTAGTGACTAGTTACTAATTCTCTAAAACGGTTCCTCCATGCAGAAACCATAAGACTCTAAATTGAAAGGGATCACTGGTTCCCAAAAACCCAAACCTGAGACCGGTGACTGCTTCGGAAAACCCAAAAAGCTGAGCGGAAATCACAAGACCAATAGCCTGCAAGGATCGGCTGGCTGCTCAACACACTACGCTCAAAGACTCAAGAGGATGGGTGGCAAGCCCCCAACACTCCGAAGTACTGCATTTTGGCCGAAAGCCCTAAACCCGAAAAGGCGCGACTGGTTCCAAAGATCGAAAACGCGAAAACTTAGTTGGTTGTCGGGAAACCTATAGAGTTCCCAAGACGATCATGACGACGACAACCATCATGACAATGACGCTGACTCCTGACAATGATGACGATAACGATGACGATGCATGGAAGACAACCGGTAGGCTTCATCGGTTGTCGGCTGAGTTGCTCGTGCAAGTTGTTTCGCTGTTGTTTGGACTATCTGAGCGATCATCGCAGTGACTTTAAACCATGCACAAGGTTGCTACAGCTGACAGCCGGAACGCTCCGAACCTCTCCGGAACTCTGCAGTCGAGCAAATAGATCCGCGACGGTTGTATTATGGCTGCAGGGACAGACAAATTGAAACTGTCGAGAGCAACACACCCCATGCAGGCCGAGCATCGATCCCAAGATGCAACATTCGTCACGCCAGCCATCCGGTGAGGGGTCTTAGGGATCTCTTCAAGTACTTCCACACCCATCTGCTCAAAGAGGACTTGGGTGTTGTGACCTGTGTTGAATCTTGCAGACGCCGTTGAGGCTCCCCGACTTGTGCCACGCTGAAAAGCTGTCCCTGCTAGGTCTAGGTCCTAGGTGCTTCCAACAGTAAAAGGAAATGCTCCCAGGTGCTGAAAAACTCGCGAGACGTCTTCGGAACAACCACGGAAAGCTTATAGCCAGCACTTTTGGCGCCCGGGAAGACGCTCAGCACTCTTGGAAAAACGTTGTCTATTGCCTGCACTCCGCGTGTGCAGTCACACATCATGGAGACGAACCAAGCTTGATGACCGGCGAAAGTCACGCTAACAATCGCCACGATGCATGTCCGAAGTATCCCGGGCCGCCAGGGTAGCTTGCTTGCACAACCAAGTGCTTCGTGGCAGCATTGTCCTGCACGGCGGCAGGATGCGTTTGCTCTGCTTGCCTGGGTGTGCCGGACTTGTCGTCACGTATCGTCCTGCATTTCTGCCGCTGACACCCTGGTGCCGCCAAAACCCAGAGCCGCGTGCTCGCCGGAGCCATCGGTCTGCTCCAAAGTCCGAACTCCATCCATGAACCTCCCAGAGTTCGACGAGAAGTAGATACCTTTTCGGGAGCTCGGTCCTAGGAGGCTCCACATTCGCGGTGATGCAACCAGGAGGCGGTTGTGCGTGGCTCCATACTGGGCATAGCTGGAGTTCAGCTTGCTAAAGGCATCAGAATAGGGTGGATCCTCGTGGCGCCGTGTCGAGCCGGAACATTCTGTTTCAAAGGTGGTCCGTGAATCGACAAGCAACAGCTTCGTGCCTCCGACATGTCCATCGGAATCTCCCATGCTGGCGTTGAGAAGCTGACGATCGAATACGGACTGCCTGCAAGACGATAGCTTCGCATCGTGGAGAACAGTCACGGACTACTGGCGAGAGCCGGTGCTGAGCCCAAAATCACGCTGCGCTGCTGCTCAGCGGCTAAGAGCAGATGCGACCCCAGCTCGCAGATTCTCAAGGTCCTCCAATCCTGGCACAGTGTTCAGAGATCTTCAACGGCTGCGTTATCATGCGTGGCTGAACTCTAACGCGTGCAGCTCCAAAATTTAAAAGGCCGAAGAACCCTGCAAAGTGCCAAGTTCGTGCGTGTCAGTGTCATCATCCGAGTAAGCTCCTCAGTTGGCAGAGTATCTCCCAAGCACCATCACACAACTCTGCCCAGGCAATCTGGTGTCTAAGAGTCTAGGTCAACGTCATTTCGTCTGCGGATCCTCTGAGATGTGCCGTCAGTCGGGTGATGGCGGCACCTCGAGCGCCGCACGCAACGAGTCTGAGGTCTTGACATCTTGGGGGGGACCTTGGAAAACAATTGCAGCTTCGCGTCCTCCCCAATCACGCATGCCAAGGCTGGGAGGGGCGAGAAGGACCAGCAAGAGAGTCCACATTCCAGCGGCTTCGACAGATCATAAAGAATCCCATGTTCCGATGTGGATTGGCCTGGTATAGTGACTTCGAGCCGAAAAGGCGAGCAGAGTCATATTCAGAGCGGATAACAGACCGCTGAAACTTTGAAACAGCTCGTGGGACAGCAGTATCCACTGCGCACCAAAATGGGCGGGAGTTTGGACCTGCATGTGCAATGGCAGCCCCACGCAGCTTACAGGCCTGCGCTCGTGACGTACTGCCCGTCGTGGCCCGAAACACCTGCGAACAACTGCCCCACCACACCGGCACCGCTTCGGAGATTACAGTACTCACATGCTAAGAGCATTGCATCTGAAAGGTCACAGCGCATCCAGTGCCCGTCCTGCCTGAGCACTGCTGGGCTCCGAGGGGTCGAAACCACCGTTCGCAAAGACCTGAGAGCAGATGTGCAAAAGCTTTCAGAATTGGCAGTGCGTTGCAGTGTGCACTGCAGCGTGCTACGGCTCAGCACCGGGCGCAGATGACAGCGGCTCCCCGGTCCTCGCGGTCCTCGCCGAGCTCGCAGCCTTCACCGTTTGGGCCCATCGCTGAACCTGAGCCAAGCACCGTGAACATCAGATTTGTTCTTGTGCTTTGTGCAGCTGGGCCCGTGGCCGCACAACGCAACACGCCAGAAGTTGAAGAGTGGCAGGCTGAACCTCGTATCGAACCGACTAGCTCACATCTTGGATAGTGCAGACGTGTTGCTGGCTGGTATTGTCGGCCCTTTCTTGGGGGCGACGAACTGCCGCCGCCGCAGTGTCGGAGCCCCTACTTCTGTTCGGATTTACTCGCAACATGCCTATCATACACTCAGCTTGCTATCCGAGAATGTCTATGCGGCGGGGGCTTTGCAGAACACCAGCAGAAGCTTGGCACAGCTTGCGGCTAGCAGGCTAGCACAGTATAGTTTGCTACTTTGCTCCGGCCTTCGACTGGCACACTTGTGTAGGGTTCGCGCAATGATCCAGCCAAGTTCATGGCTGCAGGACGAATGAATTTAGCGATGCGACTGAAGCTGGAGAGCTCTGAGCTTGGAGCGGTCGGGTCACAGGAAACTGGATCAGAGTCATGCCTCTCGCAGGCACTTGTTGCAACATGTGCAGCCGTCTTTTCCGGGCCCTGCCCGACGGTGCCTGTGCGAGGCTTGCGATTGGGGTCCAACCGCACCAACAGTCGACCGCCACCTGCAGACAGGGGGCATCTTGCATGCGGCAGGGCCTTAGTCTTTGCAGCCCGCCTGCTTGACCAATGAATGGCGAAACTGGCTGCAGGTAAATCCCCTCGCCAAAGGCTGTAGAAACCTGCAACGAGACCGCCACGTGAACAGCCATAGCAGGACCCAAGAGCCGATCATCTAAAAGTGTGGTTCCTTTCTTGAGTGTAAAGAAGACGTGGTTGCTGTCCGTGCAAGGCGAACCGGCAGGGGCGCGCGGCGGGCATTTTGGATCGAAGCAGGTTCTCCTTTTTTGGAATTAAAGGTGGTCTCAGAGCCTCAATGAGGTGTGCTCCTAGAGTGATTTTCGGGACTGTCGGGTTTGGAATGCTGGAGGCTCTTTCACTGTTTGGCGAGTCTATGACCTATGCTTGAAACTGTTGTGATGCACAGCAACTTTCTCATTCCGCACAGGTCGACTCCAAAACTCCCGGATTGATACACAAGAGCAACATTCCAGACATGTGCTGCTTCCACCTGAACGTCAAGAGCGTGGAGCTGGAAGTCCGGATCCTTCGGAAAGTCGATGAGGATGCCCCACAAATCGATATCCACATCGTCCAAGATCTTGGCACGGCGTCACGTGACAACGAGATGCAACAAAGAGGTCTCTTCGAATGAAACGGACAAGGAAAGGAAAATGCTCGGCTGATTGCCTCTACGGGGACTGTCACGTCGAAGAAATCATCGTCTGAGCGCCAAGAGAGCAAATGCAACTCGAGTCACGAACTTTGCAATCCAGCGGCCAGTGCATTAGTTGCTGAGGTGTGGACACTGCCTCAGCTCCGTCCACCAGAAAGGTAAAACCTAGCAAAGGCCAAGGCTAACTTTTTGAAGCCTCAAGCCCCTGCGCAAACCCTGCACTGAAGGGTCCGGGGAAGAGCCCCCCTTCGAAGCTCACGGTTGTGAGATCACTCATCAAGAGCTCAGCTCAGACCCCTGCGCTTGCTCGGATGCCTACCAACGACACAAGTGCAGAGCGTAGCGTGTTCCCCATCATGACATCACAGCGACTGCAGCGCCGAGGCCCTATCCCACACGGCTTCCCAAGCAGGGCATGACAGAAAATCATGCTTTGGGCTTTGGACGCAAGCATAGCGAAACTGAGCCGCACGCCTTGCACTATCGGCTCACCCGGCACTGTCAATGAGACGTCCTTGCAGGATGGGTCAAGACCAGCTGTGCCGCATCGCGCAAGGTGAGCCATGTATCTAACCCGGGTGCTCAATACCAGACGACCTCACACATGCCCCATGAGGTGGTCTAAAGCCTTGAGAGTCACGTCAAACCACTGCTTGGGTGCATCGTCTACAGCAAACTAGATGCAACGCCCATGGGTCCATATTCCGGCCATCGGGAGCTCGGAGGAAGACGTTGAAGACGTTGCGCGAAGGCTGGGGGTCCTGTCCTGAGCAACTGTGGCCGTCAGCAAAGGCGGACTCCTTCTCAGCTAGGGTATAACGAGGTCGCCAGATATCAACTGAGTGGACACGCACAGACGCTGCGCATGGGTTTCTCAAAAACACCAGTCACGGATTCCTGCCCTTGTTTGAAACCTTATCGCCAGACTCTATTCTGTATCGTTATACAAGCCGCGAGCTATGTTTATCCAAATTCTTACAACCAGATTTTTACTAAACACGCATGACCGCATGACTCTTCGAGGTTTCGGCGGGAGGTCTCCGCAGGTATGATGACCACGTGCAGGCTGCTTGGCAAGCTCTGGTTCAATGTAAGAACCACCTGATAGCACTGCGATATGCACAACAACGGGTCTCACTCACCTTGGGTCAACATGCACACACCTGCTCCTGCCAGCAGCTGCTAGCATCCGCAAGTTGAGATCTGGACCGTTGGTGGGAAGGACGACGTTGTTTGGCATCGTGCCAGAGGCCCCAGGGACACCGGCAAGACCTGGCAAGCGCTCTGTGCTCCAGCATACTGACATTGTCGAAAGCTGGCCTGACTGCAGGGCTGACAGTTAGTGACACGTCTCTGAGCAGTTTCTTGCTCCAGGATGGATCAAGCTCTGGACCCTCGGGCTCGACAAGTCTGCCGGAGAAGCCCGGCCACGCTTGTTTTCGCAGCTGAACTGCTGCAAATCCTGAGGTCCTTCGATGACCACCTGGCTGTCGGGGTTCTGGAAGCGTCAGAGCTTACTCGTGTCGGTGGTTTGCTTGTCTGCGTACATCTAAAGTCTACGTCATCAGCGTGGTAGTAGAAGCTGCAAAGCTCAAGATCTGATGAACACTTCCGGGTGTTGGGAAGGGTGGCAGATACAGCCCGTGTAGACAGTTGAAGTGTCGGGCAGGCCTGGCCGAGGCGGGGGAGATCCACACGGCTGGTGAAGGCCACACCCACGTCCACTGGCACCGAGGCAAGGGCTCCATAAACCACCTGAGGGAGGGGAGCACGTCGCTGTGCACTATGTTTCCAGATTGTAATCCATCTGTTCCCTCCCCGACAAATACTTCGTGCTGGCCTGAACCTCCATGTCCATGACCTCAAAACCGGTAAACGTCCCCTGCCACCAGGCTTGGATGAAGTGCCCATTTGTGATATCGGTTGACAGCACAAGCCGCACATCGGGAGTTACGCGATCTAGATCCAGAGTTGGTGGGGAGAAAGGGGGTGCTGGGGCCGTGGGGAGCTCGGGGGTGTGGGGCGCAGGCCCAAGTCTTTACGCACAAATGGGCCTCGATCTTATAGTCATATAGCAACACTAGTCCTGTTTTATAGAACCTTAGACTGAATTTCAACATATTTTGCAGTATTAACAAAACTGGAACTTATGTTTGATGTAAAGGTTTATATAATCTCAATATACATATCGTCTTGAATTAATGTCAATCTAAGATAGAATGATACGGATTCTATATGATGATCTCATCAAATCTATCTAAATCATGTCAATACGGCATGTTGCTCCCACCTGTATGTTGCTTCGAAGCCCACTTGTACGTAAAGACTTGGGTCCAGCCCGCGCCGCCCCCCCCCCCCTCCCGCAGCCCCCACACCCCGCTGCACCCCACCCACACCCCCCGCAGGCCAAACAAAAATAAAGAATACCCAAACCCCTCCCTTGTTTGATCAGCCAAGGGTTGATCGCAATCTGGCCAGCATGACTCTTCCAAGCCGATCCCCCACCGAAGTGTAGTTGGTTCCTGCCGGACATGATTGGAGGTGCATTTCCAATCTTCATGCAGGGAGGGAGTAGCTCGGCCCCGTTGGGGGAAGATACATACTAAGTCAAGTTACTGAGGCAGTTTGCTATGTGCCTGTCATGCAAGTCTCAGCATGTCTCACTCACTGTCATTTCCCACCTACAAGCGCGACAGCTTCGACGAACCACACCTGGAACCACACGGAAAGCATGTTCTGGCCCGAGTTGGTTGACCGCTGAGACGGCAACGTTCTGTGCATCTGGCACGGTTGCCTCTGGCCTTCTCACTCTTAGGTCTACAGAACAGTCACGACCGGCAATCAAGTGAGGCGTCGACGACGCCACGTACACAACAGTGGGTGCCTGACTGGTCTGTCTGCTTTCAGAACGCAGCTCCGCATACCGTCGCACACCGTCAGCTCCAACGTTCATCAAGACTCAGCCGGAGGCATTACGAAGGCACTCTGTGCCCAAACCTGCCACCAAGCGGAGAGCAGGATCAACCTGGCGTCCACTTGTCAGACCCGAAAATTTCCGCAAGGGCTCCAGCATGCGCCAGCACTTTGAAGCCTCACAGTCCACACGAGCACGGCTCAGGCCATTGGCGGCCGGCAGTGGCAGGCAGCCTGAAGGCATCAGAACAAATCACGTCGATGAACCAAACACCGCGAGCTCGGGCATCGGCGCATCTCGTCCACGTTGTTGGTTTGGTTCTCCTCGCAAAACTTGGCATACTGCCCCCCACGCATTGCAGCGAGGGTTTGAAGCTGGTGAGGCTAGTGCTTGCGGCAATGAGTCACATTTATTCATTGGCATGCTCGGCATGCAGCTGACACGACTGTGGGACTCTGCGGACTTTTGGAATGTATGGAGTCGGTGCAGCCGCGTCAAGATTCAAGACTGCGGAGACGGTCCTGGAAAGGAACCCGGCAGGGGTGAACGAAGGTGTAGCCAAGCCTGAGAGCAAGCACGTGGACAAAGCTTCGAGGGAGGAAGACTCACGATGACTCACGAAAAAAGGCTCATCACACTGCCATCAAATCGAATCCTTTCTGCGCTGGATGTGGCCAAGACAATCCCTTTGCCAAAACCAGATTGTCCAACCTTCAGGAGTTGAGGGCGCAAACCTTCGCGGTCACACGCTCAGCATCGGCAATGAGCCGGAGGTTGGTGCTCTGGGCTATGACCAGTGAAACAAATGCGTTCCGCACATGCTGCAGTTCTGCAAGCATGAAGCCAATCGCAGCACAATGCCGTCTGGCAAGTACAACAGTTGCAGCTTCATGCATCCTAAACACAACTTCCAGTCGGCAACATGTAAAGGCAAGCTACAGTACTGTCAGAACCTCAAGCACGGTAACTGACAGCCAGTCTCGCCGAAGATATGCCATCACGGTTGCTAACAAAATCCTACAATTTTGCAACTTCAGTTTCTCTGTCAGTCTGCTACTAGTTGCAGTACTAGTACTGCAAACATAACACGCATGTTGGCAAAAGCTAGAACAGGCGTTCGTTCAAGATCTTCGCACAAATCGGAAAGCCCGTGCACATCTTTGCTCAGCCCTGCTGACGTGTCGAGAGGTCGTCACTTCCTCAGGTGACTTCTGGAACCCCGGTAGGACGCGAAGACTAGGTCTGCGAACACAGCATGATCAGCGCCTTCCTCGCAAAATCTGTTCCATGGAGAAGAGCTTGCTCTCCACACGCTCGAGGCCTTTGGCGCTCAGCTGCCTGGAGATGTGACAAAAAAAGCAAAAATGCCTAGCGGCCCTGCGTGCTTGTGCTGGCTGTGACAAAATGGCAAGCAAAGGAACCATGTCAAGCATTCCAAGCAAGGCGCAGCAGCTTGAATGTTTTCATTTGGTGAATCGGAACATCATTCCTTCGTGGCCGTGGCAGCAATCACATGCTGTTGCTACCACACATTGTTTCGTCACATCTCAGCTGAGGATCGTTAGCAGATTGAGCAGCCCGTCAGCGAACTCGACCTGGGAGATCTCACCCCGTCCCTCCACATCCAGCATGTCAAAGAGGTCCTGTGCAGGACAGCTCACACCCGTTAGGAAACTGGATAAGCCGCAGAACCCCACAAGGCGATGAAGATGGATTGGACAATTATGGCTCTAGGCTCGGCACAGGCAAGAAACTCTCAGCACATGGACTGGCAAAGTGCCACTGTGCGTCATCCGTCCTCCAAGTTGTCCACCTGTTCCATGCTCAGTTCGAACGGGAGGTCACTCAGCTGGATCTTTGACAGCCTTAGTCCGACAAGTCAGGTGCCAGTATTGGATGGGTCGTCAGTGGTCGTTGCTTGAATGTAGTTTGCATTGTCCTCCAATTGATATGTGAGAATTGTGTGGCTTGAACACAAACGACCAGTTGCTACCTTGTTGCTCGTCCCTTTCCAAAGTACCATTTCCGTCAGTGTCAATTGTTCTGAAGACCTGAAGCGCGAGCGCGAGGCTGGCTTCCACGTGGTAATCATGTCACGCACCCCGACACAGGTGACCATCCCCTGTCTGCAACCGCACAAAGCCTCCATAATTTTCGGTGCAAACTTCCTTACCTGAGCAGGTCGGGGCCAGGAGGAATCGATTCCACGCCCAGAACTCGGAGCTCATAAGACTGATAAGGCATATAGAGATCACAGCCGCTGTTTGCTTCATGTCGTGCCGACTCAACTCCTTGTCATTGGCTGCATTGGCGAGAGCACCCTCGACAAGCACTGCCGTGACCTCAAGGTTGAAAAGCTGCCCAAACACTGCTTGCTTCATACTCTTTGAGCTTTGCACAACCCCTAGCCCTGCGAGGCTCAGACCAAATTCATGAGGGCCACCTCGGATGTGTTGCAGGAAACAGGAGGACCCCTTTTCGGAGACTGCGACTCTAAGGGCAAGATGCCGAAACCATGAGGATGATCGGCACGAAGTAGAAGATGAGAAAAGGATTTTGCTGGATCAGTGGAAAGTACCTTAGAGTCCAAGATTGTGAGCCCTCCGTTGGGGCCGCGGGCTTACGGATGCGCACGGAACTTCCAGTGTTCGGCTCCAAAGATTCAAAAACACTTACGCCGGTCAACGACCCATACAGTAGCGCAAGCGTTGCTAAATGCGCTGCAACTCCTGCATTCAATACATTGCCCTCCTTGTGCGGCTATCTTTCTGCACTTCGAGGCCCGGACACAGCTGAGATAGAGTCCATTCCGACCCAGGCGATCAGAGTGAGCAAGGTACTGGCGAAGAAAAGAAGCGCGACTCTCACCTCTATACAACTAGTCCTTGTGCCGGCGAAAAGAAACTGGTTGAAGCTAAGGAAGCACCCGGCTACGTGCTGCCAACGCAAGTGATTCACACCGCGAGGTTGTCCTGGTAAGGTTCCTGAAGTTCGTATCGACGATGAACTTCGTATCGGTATGCTGCTGAAGCAGTGGATCCTTCGTAATCAGCTCCACACCTGTCACACTTCGCGAAGCTCAGATCAAGACGGCAGGGACCACTCCGGCTCTTCCAAGTTCTCTTCACATGTCCGGCCTAGACAAGCAAAAATGTAGAGGGTGAGGAACAGGATGAAGAATGTCGACATGATGGCGTTGCCAGAGGTGATCAAGCCGTATACTAGCCGCCACACTGTTCTGAACATGTGCAGCATCCTGACTGCCTTGATGGTGCAGGGTGCAGGGGTCTGCCAGTCACTTGTCGTGTGCTCGCATGCCCCTGAAAGGCCAAGCTTTAGCTCGGAGCCCCGCTCGCACCAGCCGGAGAAGTCGCAAGGAGCGCACAACCAAGATCTTGGTCAAAAAGTTGTCCCCACCTTTGGCTTTGGGACTTTTTTTGCTCCCAATGTCCAAAGGTCGAATTGCTACCGAAGCAGCCTGACTCTGTCGACATGCTCTGGATGATCGGATCGACAATAATAAAGAACACACCCATGCAGACTAAGGAGAAATCGAAGATGAACCTGAGACACGGGTGCACGACTTCTGCATTCTAAAAGCAAGGGAAATGTTGCAGACTTTGATCCACTGACATCTGCGAGGATGCCTGCATCCTCAACATGAAAAGCTGTTCGTCTTGCTTATCCATGCCGTGCCCATGTCAGCAGCTTCCAAGCGTTAGAGTTAACCAAAGCTTGACTTCTTTGGCATAAGGCATAAGCCAAGCAGCCAGCCATCCTTGAAGCAACTTCTTCCATAAGCAGTCAGTCGGATGCTGATCTCCACCACATAGATCACTATGAACACATAATCGAGCTCCTGCCAGCACGTCACCCGGAGATGTGGAGGCAAAACAAGCTGGGAGCAAAAGGCAAGCCCTTTCCAACTCGAACAAGCTGGCGACTCATGATGCAGAAATTTCACACTCATCCAATCAGCTGCGGACTATGGTACTGTTATGTATTTACGTCGACTTACCTACTGTTTCTGCCCCGGCCCGGTGCCTGGCGAGGCCAATCTGGAACCCACTCGTTGCTGATGGAATTCTCGGTTTCGATTCCGATAGCGAGGGAGTTCAAGAAGATGACGGCACCTGCATGGGCATTCGGTCTTTGTCACTTCGCACGTTTGTTGCCCCTAGTGGCAAGCATCCGAAGCTGCGATTTATGCGAAAGGCATTGACTGCAGATTCATCTAAGGTGGAGGAGGAAGCTGACTCGGAACATGGAACGCTCATCGCTGCTGAACTGTCGTGCCGATCAGTCGAAGGGGAGATTGTTCTAATGTCTGACACTGACAAGATTTAAAATTGATGTATGACTGTGCTTTTGTTGGGTTATAAGAGCAGCAAAACGATTCGGACTGGGCACATACGTGTGCCCCACCCACTGGACCGGAACTGCCCGGCACGGTATCTGGTTGCCCATGCACCCCCCCACTCCACCCCAACTGGAACCTGAAGCAAACAAACGATCGAAGCAGTCTCCAGCGCCCTTTCCTAAAGGTGCGGCGAATACCGCTCGGCAGCTCCTGCTCCGTGGCGTAACGGCCGTATACGGGTCTGCGTGCGACGGTGTGGGTGACGGTCCGTGCTCCTATGGCGACTCGTGCTTCCGCCTCCCCAAGTCGCACAGTGCAGTGCAAAATTTTTCTCGCACGAAATGGGCTTCATAGTACAATGCCAGCATCAGCAGGTGTGCAACTAGCATCCTTGTTTTTGCCTTGGCAAATGGAAACCAGCATGTGCAACTGGCATCCTTGTTATTGCCTTGGCTAATGGAAACCAGCGTGTGCAACTAGCATCCTTGTTTTTGCCTTGGCTAATGGAAACCAGCGTGTGCAACTGGCATCCTTGTTATTGCCTTGGCTAATGGAAACCAGCGTGTGCAACTGGCATCCTTGTTTTTGCCTTGGCTAATGGAAACCAGCGTGTGCAACTGGCATCCTTGTTTTTGCCTTGGCTAATGGCCGCCGAGGCCCACAAGAGGCCAGGAAGAGGCTGCGAAGAGGCTCGGAAAAGGCCGGAAAAAGGCATGGAAATGGGCCCGAACGGAGTGTAACAACAATGGTCGCGGAGGGCCCCCAGATGCTCACCCGCCCCCCCCCGCCCCCCGGGCCCACAAGGAGTGTGACAACAATGGCGGTTCTACAAAGCAACAACGTGCTACTGCTGCTGCTGTCAGTGTCTTGCTGGCATTTGCTGAAACCTCTGCAAAGGCGGATGACATGCAACTTTTGCAACTCCTGCACCCATCGTCCAGTCAAACTGAGGCTTGTTGAGGATCCACTTGCACCGTGCACGCACCCAACTCGACTCAGTAGTCTCGTCAGCATCGTCGCCGCTGATCAGGCTTCCAAACTTAGAACCTGCAAGCCAAGGCAAAGCAAAGGCAAGGCCCACGTGGAGTGTAGCGAGGCTCCGGCCCTTCTCCGTCAGCTTTGAGATGCTGTCGCCTTTCCCGTCAGATTTCCTCGGCTGTGAACCGCTGCAACGAGGCTCTCGGGCAACGATGCAACGCTTTATGTCTTTACTCTGTTAATCTCTGTTACATACATGATATAATGATACTTCACGTGATGACATTTGCCTGATATGTTCCCATTGCTTTGATCACGGAAACACGCAAGGGCTGCACTTTGTAAACGGCCCACATAGTCAACGTGCCCACAGGCAGACGTGCGACCTGCAAGAAGCAGGAGTAGCAGCAGCCAGCGAGAGCCACCGGGGGCACCAGCAGTAACGCAGCAAGCACAGTAGCAGGTGGATCGGGGTGGCATGCGGTCCGAGGTTCCTGTTCGCAGCATCTGGGATTTCCGGTAAATTAAACTGAACTTTGGCGTCCTGCTCCTCAACCAGGTCCGTCTTGAACTTGACAACCATGGGTTGGCCCGGAGCTTCCAGCTTCCGGGGCTCTGCCTCCACATCCTCTACCGATCGTAGAAGTGCATCGATAGCTGCCAGCGACTGTTCCTGGATGTTCAGTCGAAATGCAAAGGATTTCAATTGCTTGCGAGAACCGGAAATGGGGTCCGTTCTACTGCCGCGGGTCCTGATTCTCTTTCAGGGCCGCCAACGCCGCACGGATGTCACCCGTGGACGTCTTACCATCTCGGGTGGGTCGCGGCATGATGGGGCATTCAACCCCTCACCCCTGCGGACCGCAGGAAGCTGCGGCAAAGAAAGCAGGGCGAAACAAAGACACGTGCCCTGAAATGGAGCTGCTTACGATCAAGCCGTTGGCTGAATATCGATGCCCAGTGCTTCAGTGCATTGCAGGTTGATGGACATGTCGTTGCCATGATGTAGACAGGCTAAGTACTTGTGTAGGGTATCGCGCACTTCATGTACGTTGCCGTGGGCTTCCGGGGCCGTGGCGGAGCCGTGAGAACAAAAGCCTCGGCACCAGTGTCCAATGGGTCCAACATGAAGACCACCTGATGGAAGACTTCGGTTTTTGAGTAGGACGCTGCATGACAGGAAGACAGGGATGTTCGCAGAACGCCGGGCCTCAGCCCGTGCCAGGGGCGCGAGCTGCGAGGGCTCTGGTGTTGGCTCGGTGGGCAGCTGTGTGACCACGGAGAGGGGCACCGGCGCCTCGATGGCTCCAGACAGCACAAAGATATACATCGTGTGAATCGTGTTTGTTTGACTGCCGCAGAGGTCCTGCTTTGCATCAAGAGCGAGTTTCCATGGGCGGGGTTCTGATTTGAGACGAGATTTTGGTGAATTCCGACTCACACAGAAAAGACTCCACGAACAACAATAGTAATTCCTGCAACACTTGACTAACTGTGTGGGTCAAGACTTGAATCTGAGCCACCCCATCGTTGGTGGCGATGATTTCAAGCACCGACGTGCTCTCGTTGTACAGCTGCACAGTCAAGTGCCAGCCTGAGCATACACCAGAGCTTCCTACCATTACTATAATGAATCCATGCGCGAATTGTGAGGCTTGCGAGCCCTTCGGACGAGGCATGCTGGTAGCCAGTCGCCAGCTTTCACAGAGCAGGATGCCAATCAATTTCTGACATGCATTCGGTGCTTCATCTCACAGCCAGACCCGCTAAGGAGCACACGCTCTTCCAAGAAGTTTGTTCTGTCCTCCGGCGTCTGTACCTCCAGCGCTGACCCTTTGCCAGAGCTGATGTCCGGCAACCGCGGAGGCCGCATGCCTCAAACCGGTCCCGGCCTGAAACCTCAGCCGGAGACTGCTGGAGATCGGCGCTGCCTCGTTGATTCGAAGCACCAACCTCGAGCAACCAGAGCTGGTGATCACGGGCTGAACAGTGTTGACTGATGTCTTAGGCGACAACGTGTCCGCCACCCGAGTCGCATTCGGATCACCTGACGACAAAATCAACTTGTCACGGGCCAGCTACTCGTTCACGCTGGATCTGAGGTGCGAGCTGCGATCAAAGTTGCGAACCAGGTCTTCACGTGTGGTGTCCCACTCGCAGGCTGAACGATGCGGGAGATACATGTCCTCGACAGAAGCATCGGGCTGGACAACACACAAGGGCAAGCCTGTGAGCTACGAGCTTGCCTTCGTGAAATTCATGGCAGTCTCGTTGTCCGGATCAAAGAGACTCCTCCTCACAATTACCAGTACTTTCTTTTGCCCAGCTTCACGGGACACACAACAAGTGAGTATCAGCTCAGCGGCATGTCTTCGCAGTACCACTGCCCCAGTTTTCTTTCCACGTTGACCTTGCAAGGCGAAAGTGTGCGGAACAGCTGCAACCGCTCTGTCATGTCTATTTGCAACAGTCTGCACATCTTGCAAGTGGGATCCTGGCCCCTTCACTGTCGAGCATCCATAATTCTGCGCCTTCACTGAACCTTAACCAGCGTTTTGCTGGAGCGCTTGGGCGGGACTTCCAAGTCTGGTGAGCATTTATTTGGGCTTACGAGTTGGGATGCAAAATGCTCCGGGAGTAAGGGGTGGCATGCGGGCCCTAACAAAAGGATTGCACCTGCCAAAGCCATCCCAATGACGCCACAGAAGCACCCCTGGAAACTCCTCAGCTGTCCTGCAAGCTTGGGTCTCAGGCAGTTTGAATCCATCCGGCCCAGCACCTGCCGCGAGGCAACGCTCAGCTGATGGTCTTGGAAGGATTGGGATCCAGGTCCGGCTGAAACGAGAGCTCGGCATTGTTGGGGCAGTTTTGTAGTTCTGTGTTGCTATGGACAGCCCTTGCTGGCATGCTGCGAAACGGCCAGAGCTGTATTTCAAAGGCGGTTTTTGTAGTCATAGTTGCTCCTCTCAGTCCTTCAGTCCTGGTCTTGGACTAGTGGATTACGGATTGAGCCTCGAGCTCCTGATAAGCGCATGGAAGCCTTCTGCTCTCTCTCCAACTCTCCTCGAGGACCTGAGAATCCCATGCCGTCTTTACTGGAGTCCTGGAGAATACGTGAAGAAGCTGTGTTCCCGAGACACGTGCTGGCAAGATTTTGACGTTGAAGCCACCCTTACTGAAGATTATCAACACCTTGCTAAAAGCTTATCGCTTATCAATTGCTGGTTGCCGATACTGGACTGCTTTGTACAGAAGGAAGTGTGCAAACCACGCAAGGGCTGTGGTCCATCAAGCATGCTGTCTCTGACCACAAATCTCATGCAAAAACTGCAACATCGTGCGGTCCTCGTGCTTGCAGAACCAGGTCAGAGCCAGCTTGGACAGGAGCCGTGGTTGTCATGTCGAAAAACAAATCCTCGATGCTGACACGAGGTGGTAAAAGCAGAAAGAAACACTCGGCTTGCTGAGGCCACTGAACCTGATTGCAAAGGGATGGGGCCATTTCAGGTCAACGTCAGGACCATCTGTTCGATCTGCCATGCAGACGAGCCACGGAGCTCCTCCCAAGAATGGCCGCGTTCTCACGTCCAGTTTGGCCGAAAGCATTGTAAACCTGTGCAACTCACTATGCCCAGCTTTCGCTCGTAGTCTGCACATGTGTATTACATAGTCCCCACTGCTGAGTGCCAGTGCATCCACTCTGCCAGGCACCAAAAAGCCCTGCAGGAGACAAGCGACAACAAGTCCAGAGGCCAGTCTCGAAAGGCTCCATGATCTGCATTCTCAGGCAGGCACTGAGGCACTAAGGCGCTAGGCTAGAGTCTAGAGGGCGGTGTCGGCCAGCTTGAGCAACGCGAAAGTTGATCAGAAAAACAAGGCCTGCAGGTGCACCTCATCCCGCTTGTAGGGAGTGCCTTCCCTGAGCAAGCATGTCTTCTCACCGTTGCAGTCTTGCTACAGTGGACAGGCGACAGGAGGTAGCCCGAGGACTTCTACTGTCTTGCCTTCCAGCTCGTAGCAGCATGCATCAGCAGAAGCTGTTTGGCATTGGGCACGACAACTCTGCTGCATGTTGATGTATCTGATCAAAGTGCATGCGGAGGTGCGGGTCGTCTTCGGGCAGCTCCCAAGTCGATAGCATCCAACGAGAGGGCCCAGGGACCTGAGTGCCAAAACTCACCGACTCGCTGTCGACAGCACACCTTGAGTCTCGACCTCGGAAATCTTCACATCTGCGATGGTCAGAGAGACCACATCGAAGCCTCAGCCGTCTCTTTTGAGGACGCTCAACGAGTTTACATTCACAGCCCGCGTCTAGTTTAAGAATTGCCTGGGTATGTCTCATCGCACAATCTGTCGGCAGTGCCGATAAACTGCTGACTTCAAACGTTGATGTTTCGTGTCGGAGGAGTGCTTGGGGGTCCATCTCATGAAGTGCAGAGGTGACGCTAGGCTTGGACCCAGGCTATCTGCAAGGATCACCAGACGGATCTCATCCCAGGAGGCCAGGAGGATCTGACAACCAGTTGAAGCAGCTGGTTTGGGGTCCAACTGCGCTCAGATTCGGGAGGCCTGTGGTATGCTTCTTCGGCCACTGATGTTCGCGACAGCATAGGCCTCCTGGAACTCGAAGCCCAACGGCTCCTTCAGTCTGAGCAATTTCAAGCAGAGTGCGAGTACAAGGATCTTGTGCTCGGCAGTGCAGCTCCAGCGCGTCGATTTGGAGCTCCGAGGCGCTCTGCACGACGGTGAAATCTCGATTCAAGTCGCTTTCAAGTTGAAGTCTGCATTGCAATGTGGAGTCTGAGGCGGATTCTGAACTGAATGGTCGTAGTCGTGCCTTGCCCCTTCAGTTCACCTAAGCAGCGCAGTGCTCAGCAGTAGTGTCAAGTTAGGATGGCATCTGAGGTTCAGGGTGGTGTGGGGAACTGTGCAGTACAAAACCATGGAACATCTGCCTCCTTCGAGCCTGCAAGCTTCATGAAGTCACAAAGATCACATGGATCACGTGGCTCAGGCGATGCCAATGGCAGAGTCGAGGCTGCTGCCTGTGATACCAGAACCTGTGTCGAAGATCACGGGAATGACCTGACGGCAGGGCGACGGTTCTGTTCTCCATGAGCAAGACAGAGGAACAAGGAAATATATGCTGTACTGTAGTGCTACAAATCGGAATCGGAGCGAGGGGCATCCCAAGATCGAGCGATCGCGGATGTCTGCATCTCCCTGGACCCACTTCCGGCATAGTGCTCCAACCTGGTGTGACCGATTTTGACAGATCCGTCTCAGCAGAGGGTAGGATCCAATAGGAGCGCGATATTGCTGGCTGCAACTGCTCGAGTCCATAGCTGGGTCTAGCAAAAGATTTTCGCCAGCATCTGCAGATGGAGACTCTGACTCGCCCCAAGATGGATGGCATCTTTTCACATGCTTGTGCCGAAAAATCGAAGCTGCATGAAGCTCACTCGCCATCGTTGGGCGTGGTACCTGTGAGTGGCAAGATTGCAGTGGCGTGTGTTGAGCCCTTTAACCTAGGAGGTTGCTACTAATGTTACTCAAGGGTGGTCGAGCTCAAGACACGAACATTGCAAAGGCCGCCTTTCTTGTTGCTTTTCTCCAGCGCTCGCCAAACCTCCAGGGTCCGCTTCTCCTGGAACTCCTCCGGTTCTTTCAATCGCAAGAACGGAGCTTCTCAGAGGCAGGATGTCCTTGGCATTGAGCTTCAGCGCTGCCTGGACTGCGGCCTCTTGCAGGTATGCGACGGCCACAGAAGCAGACGAACTCTGTTGCTTCTCCAGAGTCTAGAGTGCCTCAGAAGAGAAGCTGACGAAAGCTATGCCTCTCGGGTTGCCATCCTCTGCAAGGAGAGTGGCGAGAGCTGCAGAGTAATATGTCGCGACTCTACACATATCACAGAACCACGGCCTTCTGAGGGAGAGCAATGGTCCGGATTTCTCCACAGGATCCGAAGTGCTCCTCGAGCTCGGCTCTCGTGGTGGACTTTTGGAATCCCTTCACAACCACACGGAACCTGTCATCGCAGCTCATCGCAGCTCTCACAGCTCAGGCTCCCACTAGCCTCACAAAAACAAGTCTGAGGTGCTCTCGCTTTGCCTTTTCCTTTTCCAACTGCTGCTGCTTCGTTGCAGCTTGTTTTAGCATCTGCTTCTCATCTGCACGGCTTTTCTCATATTTCTTAACCTGCTGGATCGTTGAAAGCACATCTGCACTGGACCAGACTGTGTGCACAAGCAAATGCTGCGACCAGGATGCGACCAGCTTGTTTCCGCCCAGGCTGGTGCCATTCAGCTTCAGAGCGCTTTTGGCAGTTTTGATCTCTGCGAACTCGACGATGGCAAAGCCGCGTGCTGCGCCTTGGATGGATGGTGCAGCTTTCCAGTGCGGCACAGCCAAGAGGCTGCAGCCGAAAGTGTGGTGATTCTCGGATGCTACTATCACGAAGATTCCTGGAATATGCATGGCACTTACCGATGTCGGGGCCGAGGATCCCTTTGACTTCGCCGACTTGGAGCTGGGTACGGTGAAGCTGGCCAGTTCTCCACACCTGTCACAACGATTCCAGACGACAGCTCTGTGGCAACTCATGCAAGTTGCCAAGGCACTTCTTGGAAAGATGCTGCTTCAGCGCATCCGCAGCATCTGCATCTGTGCCGAAACCTTTCAGGTAGAACATGATTGATGAGAAGTCTACTGCAGTAACAACGCAGTCCATCCACATCCAGCCCAAGAACTGTAGCCGGGTGCGTACGAGTGTGATTCCGGCCTGTAATGAAGAGCTTCGCTGCCTTCGCCTTGCTGGAGGGGACCTAGACGAGGCGATCAGACAAGGTTGCACGAGAGACCTGCAGAGATTTGCCTCGGAGACATCCTTTGGATTGGAAGGGTCCGTCTTGGCCCCGGCCAGCCGGACCTAGGCAGAAGAACTCGAAGCAAATGTAGCTTCATGTCATTCAACATCGACAATACATACTGTTCATCTAGGTCACCGTAATTTTGGAGTCCAGTAAGTCGCCGTCCTCTGCCAGAGCTGCCTGCGGTCAAAGTTGAGTGATCAGAATCAGAGCATGGGTTTCTTGGGTCGACAAGCCAAGGGTCAAGGATGCAGCAGGACTAGAAAATGCATCTTCGTCTTCATTTGTGTTGGGAAGCCGGGCCGTCACGAATACAACGACTACGCCTGGCAGTACACCAAAGAGCTCACAAATGAAAATGGGGTCACATCCAGAAATCACACTTGTGCCCCAAGGAGGGGGACGAAAGCTTGCTGCTGAACGGCCAAGGCGGAGGCTGCAGAGCAGCTAGGACAGACGCGTTAGATCTTCGTATACAATAAAGACAAGAATCAGGCTCAAAAAAAGTTAGATTCTAAACAGCCAACCAGAAAACCGCCAAGTGAATATTTGCCATTACCAAGAACAGCTGCGCCGGAGCAAGCCGATACCAAAAATGCCATCTCCAATTGCAGCTCACATGGAAAGCTTCTCCGCTTGCACGCAACAAAAAAACATCGGCGTTCCAAGCAAAGCGGGCAGTCGTCTATCACAGCCACCTCCCCCCTCCCAGGACGAGCATCATGAGCATCATTGAAGTCCCCCCCACCCCAGGACGAGCATCAGAAGCATCATTGGCGTCCTGTTTCTTCCCAAAGAAACCCTCGTGGGGTAACGTCCTCAATCCAGCCAAGGCATGGGGATTCCCTCGAAAAACAAGGTCGGATTGGCCAAAAAATGTGGCATTCCACCGCCCAGACCTTGTAGCTCTTCAAGCAGCAAAGCTGGATATTAAACTCAAGCTTTTCAGAGGGGAGCTTTCGTGATTTGGATGCTTTGCTTTGGTGCCAATCGATGCTGCTCCTGCTACCAGCTTTTCGACCGTGCATTTTCCGAATTGCTGGATCCATGGTCTCGAAAAAGATCGGATCTCCAGCACTCCTGTGTGTCTGTGCTGAAACTTAATATGCCGCAGTCCACAAGACGGGAGGTGGCTCCCCAGCCCAGCCAAGCTCGGGACTTGAACCTTTGCTTTCGGCTTCCCACGCATGACGCAGTTCAAATCTACTCATCCAAAACGCTTAGGGGTTCAAAACATCCTCCGAAACATCGCAAAATTGAATCCGCAGAAACCCGAAAAACTGGAAGCAGGACGCCTTGCCTTCGCTGCACTGGACTCTGCGAAGCCGACAAAGGCGATGCGCTTCTTGTTTCTCCGCCGATCCGGAGGGACTTGAACTTCCTGCGAGTGAATTGTGTTAGGGACTGTTAGATTCATCTGTGCGGACTGTGCGCACAGCGGATAGCAGCATCATCTACTCGGTCCACAACCGTGCCATACTTGGCAAACTTCTCTCGTATGCTGCTTTCTGGGCAGTCGCGAGGAACACCTCCCACGCAGAGAAGGGACCAGATTGACTAGACGTCTTCGTCGTGTCGGGTACGTATCGTGGCAACACAGAAGCTGGCGAGCATCGCCTGAGATGTAGATCTTGCTTGTGGGCTGCTCGGGCGCATCTTCTTTCAGGACCTGGAGAAAGGCGAAGACAAAGCTGGGTTGGGGTGAAATTTGCACTACGCCACTACGCTTATTCTGAAGTGATGGTGACAGTGCCGCTGCAAACACCGCTTGAAATGGAGGATGGCAAAGTGGCGCAGTGGCGAGGGAGGGCCTTCTTCTTGACCTTGCTTGCGTTGGCAGGCTTGGTCTGCAGCTGCTCTGAAGTCTCCTCTCGCACTTTAAAATCCATGTACTCGTGTGGAAGAAATGGCACTTGTGCAAAGTTGGCAGAAGACCTCTCAGCTTGCCCGTCCTGGACCTCGATCGGCCGCTTCTTTCCCTTGACCTGACGAAAAATGCCCAGCACCAGGACTCTTTCAGGATTGGAACGTCGTGCCAGTGGCCACCTGTCCATCATCGCCTTGCAGCTTTGCTGTCTTCTTCGGCATGGCATGGGAACCGCTAGAGTTTAGGGCTCTGCGGCACGATGCAGTATGTTGACTCACAGGGATGATGGTATGGACCTTGCTAGTCTGGGTGAGCCTAGGGCCTGGGTCTTGTGCCTGGTACGGTTTGCTCTCTTGCTCTGTTTTTCGCTCTCTCTCTTTCTTGCTTGCTTGCTTGCTTGCTGATGGCTTCACTCTCTCTCGCTCTCTCTTTGTCTCTCTGCGCAGCTTGAGCCATACGCGGAGCGGTAACGTTCATGCCTACCCATCGCTCCTGGTCGAGTTTTCAGTTGCCAGACTTAGCACGAAAACACATAACTCATATAACATAGTCGCACTCGGTCTCGATGCCTCCCGAAACAGCTCGAGCAGAAGACGCAGGAACTTGAAGGCTCCGGCTTCCAATAGTTGTACTCCACAGGCGGTGGCGATTGCGGGTTCCGCACGTTCAGCCTCAGCGAAGCTGACCAGAGCTCAGAGATTGTTAGAGCCGGAAGCTGCCGGCAGATTTGAAACTCGCTTTGGCGTAACTCCGCGATGTTCCCTTTGGGATCTAGGCGGTCCTCCACGGCAGCTTTTCCTGCCGCGGAGCCGTGCGGTTGAACTTCCGCTCCAGCGGTGGAAGCGTTAGAGGGCAAAGCGGATCGAAATCTTCGATCTGCTCGGCTGGCCGAACTACACGGCGACGAAACCTAGCCTTTGACCAGGTTTCGGCCAAGTATTTGGGATGTATGCCCATGGTGACCTCAGCTCTGAAAGGCTGGATCGTGACGGGAGGAACGGTCGGTACAGTGTGACTGAGATCTAGAGAGCCGATTTGAGAAAACTCCTGCGATGTGAGGAGGGTCCTGCGCTTAAACTGAGGATCAGCGCTGGAAGCCAGCAAGAAGTCAGAGATTCTCTGGCTGTCGCCAGAGCAGAAAGCTGCTTGAAGAGCCGTGCAGCCAGCGAAATTGCAGCCGTTAGCACTGGCTCTGGCCTCAAGCAACAGCTCCACTTTTGCAGGTGATTGGGCCAAGACAGCCAAACGCAGTGGGGTCTCGCCACCGGAACCTTGCCCCGTCATGATGTTCGGATCCCCACGCGCATGCAATATGACGGCCATCGTTTCATTGGAAAGGTTCTGGGAAACTGCCAGGTGCAAGGCCGTCCTTCCAAGGCCTTCAGGTGCATTTGCGTCAGCGGCGGCTTCCAGCAAGCTCTTCAGCATGGTCTCGTTTTTGGCCTGTGCCGCAACGTGCAAAAGGCGGGCCTGCCGATCAGTGGCAGGGCTCGCAACTGCGTTGGGATCGGCACGGTGTGCAAGCAGCAGGGTGTGGATGCCAGGCTCCGGAATGCTTGACGTGTGCAACAGCGGCTGCACCCCAGCCGAATCAGGTTGAGACGCATCGCAGCGCGCTGCCAAAAGCTGCTGGGCCAGCGGGAAAGGTGGCCTTCCTGTTCTGAGAGCAGCGACAAGAGCGGTGCGGCCAATTCTGTTTGTTGCATTTACGTCACAGCGGCTGCGGAGCAGTGTTGAGAGGATCTCTTCACTGCCACGTTCAACGGCAATCTGCAAAATTGGCTTGCCATCTGACTTCGCGTTCACATCTGCTTGGTGCCAAAGCACCCGCTCGACAAGAGGCAAGTCGGCACGGCGCACGCATGCAGCGACCATCGGTTCCATCGCTTGGGCTTCCGCAAGCCAGGCACCAGGTCCGTTGATGTTAGCACGACGCTTAAGGAGCCCGTCCACGACCGCGAGCGTGTACCTGTTGGAATATCGCACCGCGGCATATAAGAGGCTCTGACCGGTTAAGGGGTTTTGGCCATTCAGAATCTCAATGAGAGGTACACTCAGATGCTGTGGCACGTACCGAAGCAGCACATTTGTTACGGGATAGTTGCGACTTTGGACAGACATGTCCAGGGCACTCGGGCAGGAGCCCGGGTGCCCGGACCCATCCTTCTTTGGCAGATCCCGGCTGAGGATGGCAAGGCAAGCCCTGGTTGGTGGCGGCATGCCGCCTTCGCCTTCCTCCGGGCAGGACTCCAAGCCCCATCGGTTCAGAAGGGACTCCACACGTTCCGCCTGAGTGTCAGATGCCTCCGCCTCCCTCTCGACGAGGCCCTGCAAGCGAACCGCCAGTTGCTCGAGAGTCGGCCGGAATGCCAAAACAGCTGAAACGACGGCCTCCCTGACAGCGAAAGATGAAGCCGGGAATCGAGTCGGGGGTGGCACCAGCGCCACTGGCGGCACCAGGTGCCCTTGCTGGAGCTGCGGGCTATCATCCTGGTGCTCTGCACTAGCGGCTCCACTTTCTTGCGGTTGCTCCACCTGCACATCTGGAGCAGCCAGAAGATCGTCCTCACGCAACGTCCGCTCCATGGTCTCACCATCTCCTCCCACGGCAGGTTGAGCCGCTTCTTCCTGCTGGCCTTCTTGCATTTGCTGGGCCTCTGCTCCTTCAAGTTTCTTACTGGCCTCAAGCACCTCCGAAATCTGAGACGTTTGAGGACTGTCAGGCTGACGAGGATCGCCATCAGGCGCCAGTGCAGGCTCCAAACTTGCTACTCCTGGAAGGCTTCCACCCCTCCCAAGTCTGCTTCCGAATTTGCAAATAAGTAAAGCAAAAGCTGGCGCGCTTATCAGCATAGAGGGCTCAGGAATCTAAAAAATTATAAAGTCAATGAGTGTTACGAGGCTTCACATTCTGAGCTCTGAGCCTGTCCCTGTGAAACCCGTCCTCCGAGGCCGCCTGCAGACTCCAGCTCCAGCTCGGGAAATTCGGGAAACTCGGCGCGTTCTCGGAGGCTTTCTGAAGTACAAGTTCTGAGAGCCGGCTCCGAAAGCTCCATTTGAGGTCCCTGTCCCTGGCTGTCCTGCGACTCCTTCGAGTCCTTCGAGGCCTCTGGAAATTCCAGATTTTCCAGGTTGGTCTCGGCTTCGCCGGGCCTCGAAACTTCGGTCATGCGCCTTCGGGCCGTGGAAAGATCTTCTTGCGAAAGCTCGGCCACGGTGGACCGCCGCTCCCTTTCAGAATGTCGCCGCCTTGCAGCGCTTGCTGCGGCTGTGGCCGGTGTCTGAGCTGCCTGCGGCTCACGATCTCGAACTTGGTCCAGCAAGGCATTGACGTCACCATGCATCAACAGGACTTCCTGGCTAGGAGACCTCTCGAAGGCTGCAGAGACGCAGAACTCCTGATGACTTTTCATCAGAAGAAGGCTGCACGGCAATACGACGCGCTTCAGGTCACTGACCAGAAGCAGCGGAGCTGCAACATCCTGCTCACCCTTTGTCCAAGTCTTCCGCTCGTGCTGGGCTTCGGCCATCTTTCGAAGCTCTTTCTGAAGATTCTCGTACCACGTCAACGGCATGATGGGGTCCACGTCATTGTCTGTCTCCTCGACTTCATTGACCTCGTGCTCCTTGCCGGCGAAGAACATCACCGGATGCAGAAACGCAAAGTTGACCAGAATGTTCGTGCTTTCAGCCTCAGCAGCTGTGCCAAGAATTTTAAGGCATCTTGCTTGGCAGCCGATCACAAGCCGCAGCTGCTTGTGAAGCTCGGTATCCAAATTCACCGGCCAACCCTTCTTAGGTGGCCGTAATGACAACATGCCACCTGCCACCAGCACAAGATCCTTCTTGCCTACCGTGCCCTCTGGCCACATGTAGTTGCCCGAGAAAGCAGGATCTTCAGTCTGATCTCCACAAAAGCCGAGTGCATCATCCAAGCCCGAATCAAAGGAGCCAACCAGCTGATGTTCTGGCCGAGACGTGTGCTGAGCAAGCGCTTGCTTTGCCGCAAAGCCTTGCGATCCGGGTACGAAAGCTGCGCATTCTCGACAAACAGCCAGTGCAGTACCTTCCTTCTCAGGTACCTGCGAGCCCACCGCTGCTGAACCACAGACATCACAATTCTCCTGTGATTTCCACGGGACGAAACTGCCCAAACCTGGCACGGGACCCAGGGCCGCCTCCAAGTAGCAGCTGCGTTCAGCATACGCCTCCAGGCGTGCCCAGCTGCTTGGTGCGGCAACAAGGTCTCTGACCCATTCGCTGGTGAGGTAACGGCAGATGTCTTGCAGGGAGGCTCCGGCAAGACCTCGAGCGTCCAGTGCGGGGCCACCCAAGCGGCGAATGCACAGTCGGGCCCTTTGCCCTTGCACAGGAAAGAGCTGCGCACTCAGTCGCTGAGCCAAGATTTCTGCATCAACGGAATCTGGGTCTCCTGTGCGTGTTTTCAACGATGGCACCATTGAGAGCTCCAATCTCGCGCCCATGTCAAAGGCCTTGATGTAAAATGGACACCGTCTCGAGGCAGCTCGACTAAAACCCTCAAAAGCAATCGGAGAATCAAAGCCCAGCTTGGCCACTGGAAGGACAATCTCGATGGAGCTGGATGATTGTATAGTCTGCAAAAGTTCAGACAAAGAGAGTTTTCGCGGCTCTACATCCGCAGCAAGCTTGGCTAATCCAGGGCAAAGCCACGAGGTGTCTCGACGTCCGTGTCCGGTCTCCAGGTGCACACCAAGATCTGGCTCTTCCACCCGGCAGAAGTTTGGAAGCAGCAGGGATTCGCCTCGATGGCCGTAGCGATCCAGGCGATAGATGCTCCCTCGCCCTTTCGTCCATGACGAAGCCCAGTGATGTCCCTCAAGGCGGACAAATTCATCGAGTAGCACTAGCTTCCCTGTCCCAGCGTCGACCACTCGGGGAACCGGCAGTGGATCATGGCACAACATGAGGGGAAGCGGAACGGGGCCAGTTTCTGAAACCTCGGATGTCGACTTCAACACCGATCAAGCAAGGACAGCTTCACCTTCAAGCGAGCAGCAGCATCTTGCACCTGTTGACCCCACCAGTCCGACCATTTCGCCTGCCAGCGCTGAGACAGTAGACTGGCCCGTTCAGGTCATGTGTGTCTGTGTGCGTGTCTGTGTGTCTCGGCCTTCCACTGCCCTCCGTTTTCTGCGGGACCTTCAAGCCGTGCTCCCCGTCCGAGCAGCAAAGAAGTGACGAGGTCGATCCTTTCGAGGCCGATCGCCAGCTCAGCCTCGAGGCGGCGGCGAGAGTGCGGCGAGCGGAGCGCATCTCTCCCTCGGCCCTCGCCCTCAGAGTCACCGCGCCTCCAGCGCCTCAGCTGCCTGCTGCAGTGCCACCTGTGCCGAAGCCCACAGCGACGCCCAGAGCGCGACGCCCTTTGCGACCCGGTTACTGGCCTGGCGGAGCCGCGCCACCCGGCCTTCGGCAGCGCCGCCGGGGCCCAGGCGTCGCGCCATCCACGAGCAAGGCGGCCAAGGCACACATGTATGCGACTCCTTGCGTGAAGCTACGATTTATGGGAAAGGTCGAACAGCTGATGCCTCCGTCTCCGGATACTATACGAAGGCGGTGCATGTTAGTGACTGTTAGTGCCTTCGTGCATGCTCTTGCTTGCTTGGTCTTCTGCATCAGCTTTGCATGATCAGGCACAACACGCTGCCAATGAGCTTGTGGCACTGAGGCGAGTCGCTGGGAGTTACGGCACGATACGCTTCCTCTGGAATCCTCTGGGGCTTCCACAGCAAGCGGCACAGTTCGCCAGACCTCTGCGACCATTCGCTTGGCCATGTCAACTCGACTTGTCGTGAAGGCCATGGCTGTAGGGCTCTGCCGAAGTTGACGGCCGGAATTGTCATGACCTGCCCACGATGCGCAGACGCCGCAGAAAATCTACCGACGTTTGAGAGCACAGAAAGCCTTCGCTCCGCCCCCCACGTTTAAAGAAGTGGCTCCGCGACGCCTCTGCGGCGCAGTAGGCTGGCCTGGTCGCCTCAGGCTCCAAGCCTGCGACCTCCATTCAGCGCATCTGCAGACGCACACAGACGCACACAGACGCACTCGCCCTTTGTGCAGAGGCGTGTTATCCATGAGGCCTAGGGCCGAGGCCACGAGAGGTAGCAAGATGCGCCTTTCGATGCAGGAGCCTGGCCTTGGTGTCCAGACTCGACATGACTTTGGAGCGTTTCAAGTTCGGACACTGGATCCCCAACACAGACGGTCACCCTGATTTCGCTGCAGCTCGAAGGGTCTGCATACACTTTGGCAACGTCCGAGGGACATCGGCAATGGGTGACACGTTTGTGATCTGGCCCCCAGTTTTTGAGCAACGAGGTAATCACCCCTACGGCCTGCTGTAGTCTGTTGCTGGAGGAAAACTCGTATCACCACCAGGCGCCTTCTCGTCCTACAGGTGACACAAGCCACACGAGCTGAAAGCTTCGTATGGGCAGACTGCGAGACATCTGCGAGACATCTGCGAGACCTTGCGAGACCATGTCCGGAGAATCTCTTCAGGGTGAGAAGCAATGCTCGAGTCGTTTACTCCACTTGCAGCAAGCGAGACTCGCAATAAGAGGCCTATAGTCGTTACAGAGAAGAACCACAAGTGTGGCCAACTTTGGGGTTTGCGCAGATGGCCTGGTGCCAGCCCAGCTTCTAAAGTTCATCTTAAGGCTATCCTCATCAATGTTTGGAACACGCTGCTGGCCTCTGTTCTGCCATACATACAAAGATTGTCAGCACCAAATGCACAACCCGCTGGGTTAAGCCTCACTCGTCCGGATGTTTACAGACGCATTCCACACCTGTCTTCAGGAGCATCTTCCAGGACGTGAAGGGTGCGAAACACTCCTGCCTGTGATGGGCTTAACCTCCGGAGAGGAGCTCAGCAGGGGCCGCACCAGACGCCCTGGTGATGAGCGCGATTGGGGAGCTGCTGCCTGCAAGCGACAATAACATGCCAGGGTTGCCGGCCCCGAGCAAATCACCCTGATCTAGACTTCCCCTGTTTTTCTTAATCCTTCACGAATGGTTCACTGTCTGTCAAGTGCTGCGGCTTCCCACGCTAATTCAACTTGCTGCATTCATTGTGTTGATGTGTCGGTGGCCCTTTATCAAGGAGTTTGTTCGTCGTTGATGCTTGCGAAATCGCTCTTAGACTTATCGAATGACCAACGCAAGATTGGGAGTGGATGCTTGAGCTGAAGGCCTTCCAGAACTGCAACTCCTACTGCTCCTGCTCCTGTTGCTCCTGTTGCTCTGCGCCTGCTGCTACTGCTACCTCTGTTGATATTGTTCCTGTTACCACAGAAACTCCTACTCCTACGACAACGACAACAGCAGCAGCAGCAACAACAACAACAACAACAGCAGCAGCAACAGCACCAGCAACAGCAACCACATTAACAACAACAGCCACAACCACAACACCAACAACACAAACAACCACAGCGACAGCGACAAGCACAA